GGCCGCCGGGGCTGGGACCCCCCTCCCGCAGCCAGAAGCCCCCCTCCTCCCGCGTTTAACCCCTCCGGCGCCGCGCCTCCCTCCGTGCCGCGCCCTCGCTTCCGGCCCCTTCCCCCCGCACCAAGCCCTTTACCTGGGGTCTCCTGGCTCCCCAATCCCAGGCTGGCCGGGAGAGGTGGGTGGCAGAGGAGCCGGAGAGACCTCGCCGCTGGGTTCAACCTTCTAGTCTCGGACTGGAGCCTAGTGTGGCCAGAGGCATCAGCCTGGGCATCTGTTGGCCCACCTCTCCGGACAGGCCCCAAGCGAATCTCCTGGCATCTCCCAGGCCCATTACAGGATCAGGAAGGGCCCTCATCTCCCCGCCCCTGGGGACAGCCTGGCCCTTGGGCCCAGTGCTCATGAGGGAGGGGCCCCTGTGGGACAAAGGAATAGGGACATCTGCTGAGGGCACCTGGAATTGGCCAACGTGGGGGTTGGGACCCAGCTGTGGGAAGTCACTGCTGGAGCACTTCCTACCCCTACTCCTGTATCCCCAGCCTTTGGTCCTCACCGCCATGCCCAGGAGTCAGCCCCAATCCCAGCATGGAACTGGTGTCAGCATTCTCTCCCTCACTGCCGAAAAAGCCCAGGCCCTGGCAGGTCCTGAACCCTCCCTTCCCTTCTCTTACCCTCTTCTTTAAAACCTTTTAAACTTTTAAAACCTCTGATCTCTCCAAAGACCCTCCTCTCGTCTCTTGTCTCCTCTTGTCCCTCGTGGTGGTTTTAAGCCTGGGCTATATGGCTGACCATCTGACCATCCCCTACCAGTAGGGGGCCTGGACAGGCCACCAAGCTCTCTGGAGTCTCCCTGTTCCCACTTATAGAAAAGGGGTGATTAGTGATCATTTTGGGGTGCTGTTCTGAGCATTAAAGAGGTCAGTATTTATAAGTGTTCAAAACAGCCTGCACACACAACAAAGCACCCTAGAAATGTTAGCAATTTCCTTTCAACAAAAAGTGATTATCTGAGTCTGAGATACCCTCTCTGGATAACAAAAAGTGATCTTCAAGTGGATTATCTGAGTCTGAGATACCCTCTCTGGAGGCCCCAAAGGCTTGGCGCCCAAGATGATCCCAAATGGAGGGTTTCGAGGCAGGCTCAGTGCTAGGCCCTGAGAACTCCAAGGAGCTGGGACAGCCAGGTATGTAGGCAGAAGACATACTCTGATAGAAGACTCCCAGCCATGGGACAGATCTGCCAGGGCTGTGGGAACAGAGGACAGTGACTATGCTATTAGCCGCGGAGTCACCAGGACCACCAAGCAGACACAGCATAGTGGCAGCCCGTCATTCTGGACAAACCCACACCTGGCAGGGCCTCCTGTGCAGGCCTTAGACTACCACTGGCACCTCAAGGCCAGGTTGAGGATGGTGACAGGGAAACAGGGCCTCCAGAAATCCCGACCCATTGGGATTAAGACTCATAATAGCCACATAACCATAGTGCTGTGGGACCCAGTAGAGGGGCCACAGTTCCCTGATCAGGAGATGGAATGCCTCATAAAAGAGGTGACATTCAAAGCAGGTCTTTTTTTTTTTTTTTTGGCAGCTGAATGGTATGGGGATCCGACCTTTGCCCTGGGTGTTATAACACCACGCTCTAACCAGCTGAGAAACCGGTCAGCCCTGAAGCAGTTCTTGGGGAAAGAGTAGAAACTGTTCAAGTGTGTGTGTGTGTGGGGGGGGGTGTGCCTGGAATGATAGTGGGGCTATTCTGTGTTAGGACAGTTTTGGGGACAAAGGTCTGTGTGGTTACCCTTCCCTCGCAGACTGCTAGTCCCTCTCTCTCTGTGCCCACCAGTCTTGATGGGGGGAGTGGTCCCTGCCCAGCCCAGCAGCCCACTTCAAGGGCCAGTGTCTGATCAGCTTTAGGCCGAACAGGCAAAGGCGAGAGAAACACAAAGCAGACAACTGACAGGTAAATGGATGTGGGGCATGGACACTGTTTATTGAGCGGCAGGCTCAGGAGAGGTAGCTGGCTCCAGTGTGGAAGCAGAGGCAGCAGGTGATGCCAGGGTGCTGTGGGCATCTGGCAGCCAGGGCCATGCCCCTATCTTAGGGGGGTGGCATAAGCTCACTACAACAGGAGCAACAAGGAACCAGTCAGAGGAGGGGGCGGCCATGGCCCCAGAATCTGGAGCAAGAAGCAGCATGTGAACTTGGCACAGGGGCCTGGGGTGAGGGAGACTGGGGTCTGAGTATTTTGGGGAGGGGAATGGAGGGGATTCACGTCTGTGGGGTGGAGTAGAGACTGTGGTGGTGGCCGCCTGGTCCTGGCACCTGGGAGAAGAGCAGAGGAGTGGTCCGCGTCTGGCTGCCCCCGTACCAGCCCGGCTCGCGCCCAATGGCACCATACCAGCTGCCAGAGCCTAGGCTGCCTGACATGCTGCAGCAGAGAAAGAGGGTCAGTCACAGGCAGTGACTAGGGCCACATTCACAAGAGATGGGGGAGGAAGAGAGGCTTAGAACAGAGCCTCCATGACCAATACCTCCTGTGCCCAGGGCAAACTGCATCTCGGGCAAGGGGGTGGGGGTTTTGCAGTAGGAAAAGATGTCATCATAGGACAGATGGGGAAACAAAAGCCATGGTGGATATGGGGAAGCAACACCCATCTCTTAGTCCCCCATCGTTTGATGGAGCCAGGTGGGAGCCCAGGGACTCTGAGGCGGGGCTGGGGCTCCTACCTGGTGCTCTCGCCACGGCTGTGCTCCCAGGAGCAGCCCTCGTCCTCACAGTGCCCGGCCCGGTCAAAGAAATAGGAACGAGAACCAAAGACCTGCCCGTTGAGGATGCGGCTGGTGCTCTTGGGAAAAGAAGCTGTCATCAGTGCTTTGTCCTGCCTCCCACTGGCCTTCCATAAATGTTTCCAGACTCCAGCCCAGGATTCCCAGTGTCCACCCCTCTCCACTGGCCCCACAAAGAAGGGTGGAGGTCCTCACCAGGTCCTGTGCAGGCCGGTGCACCCGGAAGAAGCCCACCAGTAGGGTGGTGGGCAGCAGTTCCCAGACAAAGAGGATGAGGCCAAATACCAGGTAGCCTTTGTTCCCCAGGTCATTTACCAGGTCTGCCTGTGGGAAGGCAGGGGCTCGTGCAAGTCTGCGATTGTGCCAAAGGGGCACCAGGAAAGGGCCCAGGCCAGCTGGGGGCCAGGTATCACGGCTACTAAGAAGGCGGCAGGGCTGGCCCGTGGCCCACTCGGGAGAGTGCGGTGCTGATAACACCAAGGCCACAGGTTCAGATCCCATATAGGGATGGCCGGTTAGCTCACTGGGTGAGCGTGGTGCTGACAACACCAAGGCCAAGGGCTCGCATCCCCTTACCGGTCATCTTTAAAAAAAAAAAAAAAGAAGGCGGCAGACATGCCGAATGCCCACCTGGTCAGATACATTGTACCAGTCGTAATCGAAGGCATCCAGCCGACTCCGGGGCGCCAAGGCCAGGGCTGCCAGGTTGTAGCAGGCCCGGCTCGCATAGAGCAGGACCATGGCAGCACCCATCGCAGCCGCCTGGCACACACTGGTCCCCTGGCACAGATGATAAGAGGACCCTCAGGGAAGGGAGGCTCTGAACTTCCTCTATACAGTGAAGACCACTACCCAAAGATCCCAAAGGACATCAGGGCATGTGACCCTACCTTGGCCTCCAGGTAGATGCTAGTGGAGGGGGCCCGCCGGGCGACGAGGCAGAGGCAGGCGGCGAGAGAGAGTGCGCAGATGACGAAGAGAGAGTCACTCACCAGGACTCGCACCAGCAGTAGGGCCCAGGGCTGTGCCCGGCGCCGGCGGGACAGCACAGCACACAGCACATTCACCAGAAGAAAGAGCAGCGAGGCCCCCACGAAGGCCCCTCGGACGGCCAGCCTGCAGCCCACATCACAGTCAACCCCAGGCCAGGGATGGCCCTTGGCACTCACCAGCCACCCTGACTCCCCCAGGAGACCCTATGTCAACCAGAACTCAGATCATCCAGTCTGAACCCTGTTCTTCCAGTTGTACAGATGGAGAAACTGAGGCCCAAAGAGGTCAGAGGGTGACAGCTGTGGTACCTTGGAAAGAGCACCACTTTAGGAGTCAGAAATTGGGTTTGGGCCCTGGCTCTGCCTCCTGGAAGCTCTGTGACCTTGAACATGTTGCTTTACCTTGCTGGGCCTCAGTTTCTTCATCTCTTAAATGAGGATAATAACAGCTTCTCAGATAAGTTGTAAAAATGAAAAACATTTGCAAAAGCTCTTTATAAACTAGAAGCCATTGTACAAACGACAATGTATTTGGGGTACTGCTGCCCAAGGTCACTCAGAAATGCAGTTTGGCTTTGGTGCCTCCATGGGCTGGAGCCTCCACTCTTTCTCCATCATGGATGACACTGGTATCCCTCCCCTCACAGTATCATGACTGTTTCTATTATTGTTGCCCTTCACGTATGCGACGGCTCTGCTGAACCATCTGCACCAGGTGCTTTAACTTTTCCAAGCTCTTTCACAAACATTCCCTGAGTGGTCCTTGCCTCAGCCCTGCCAGGTGGGAAGGGTTCTACAGGGGGCTGAGTCCCCCAGTGTCCCCAGTACTTACAAGCCTCGGCTCATCTCTGGCCGACGCTTCGCCTTGGCCTTGAACACCACCTGAGAGCAGAGATGCCCATCACTTCTTTGGACCCTTGGGGATTGTCACCCCCCACCCCAAACCCATTATCACAGTTACCTGGGCAAAGTAGAGGTTCATAAGTGTCAGCGTGAAGAACTGCAGGCAGACAGGGCAGCAGTAGAGAAGCCAAAAGGGCAAGGGGCCCAGGTGGTTGGCTCGGGGAGTATCTCGGAAGTAGAAGGAGAAGAGGGTGGTGCGCAAGGCGGCCCAGAGCAGACAGAGTGCCAGGAACACTGTCTGATAGCTGAGGCGCTTGTGCCCATATAGCAGCACCAGCCAGAGCTGGGCATAGACGGAGAAGAAGAGCAGGGCATAGAGGGTGGTGTAGGCCGCAGTCAGCCCCAGGGTCACCGCTGGCGGCAACGCAGGCACCAGCCCCGCAGCAGGCACCAGGCCAGACAGGTTACTCTCCATGTCAGGAAGGGAGGCCTGAATCCCAGAGATGGAGATGGAGGGGCTGGCAGGGGGCCAGGAAATAAATAGGGAGAGGTGGGAATGCAGGGTGCAGAGAGAGATGGGGAGTTCAGAAGGGAAGAAGCGGTGGATGCCCAGGCCCCTCCTTCTCAACAGAGAGGCCCTTGCCCTTGGGGGACGCAGCAGCCCGGACCCTGGGCCCCTCACTCGGGGGCGTGGAAGGGCAAGCAGTCTCTCCTCTCCAGGTCAGATGGGGTGTGGAGGGAAGAGAACGAAGGAGAGGAGTCCCTGGCCTTGGTCGCTCGTGTCGTCCTGGCAAGACGGGGAGAGCCGGCCGATGCCCGTCGGCTCAGGGCAGCGGCCGCTGCAGGGGGCGCCCAATGCCCCGCTCTCCCCCTCCCCAAGCTGGGGGGGGGAGGGCTTTCTCCCTTCCAATAATCCGGATGGAGGGGCCTCTGCCTTCTGTCCTCAGGATTCCGGACGCTGCCCCCACCCTACCTCACCCCCACCCCCACCGCGTCCACTGTCCAGCCTCGGGGGGCGGGAGGAGGCCGATGCCCGGTCTTCAGGCCGTCGCTGGGGAAGCCGCCTCCGGTCGCTTGGACCCGGGACTCCAGCTCCCCGGCTCCCGCCGCTCCGCCCCCCTGCT